AGCAGCTGAAAACATTGGAGAGGCTCAGATATCACTTACAGCAGAGATGAAGTCTCGGTTAGCCTTCCAGCACCACATTCATAATCAAAAGCGACTCGCCCTTTTTTCCCTCGTCTGCTTTCCATCATTCTCTGATCTCCCATGATCCTGGAGTTTGAAGATGGTGTTGGATTTATACAGTAACAGAAGAATCCACAGTGAGTGTCAAGCGATATCCCGAATAAGCCCTTGCAGATACCGTGAGGCCTTTTGCTGTCATGAACCGAATTCAATCACTCCAGCATCAGAATCCAATGGTTTTAAAATACAGCACAGCACTATAAATTCATATAAGATAATTCTCTAATAAACTGTTTAACCTCAAAATGCCTTGGCAATTAAGAGTGATTAATAATCCAAATACAACCAATAATAAATAAATACTGTCCTGTTGTTCTTGTTTAACACTGTATGTTGAGTTTCCCACACACGAACAAAGGAGTTATAAGCGGTTTCACAACCGTTTCACACACGCACACCTGTTATCCGCCTACCCAGGATGCACCTGTATGTAACGGTAGAAACAGCACATTTTAGGCTTTCTTCACCAGAGATATTAATAAACCGAGTGGGACACATTGGAGAAAGCACCACAGCGGCCCATGTCAAATCTCTGGAGGGAGTGAGTGTGTGTAGGGGTGTTCACTGGCCTTGCTTGAACATTCCAGTGGACTGACTAGCCTTTGACACATGGTAACAATTAAAGACGCTGTTATACGCGGAAAGCAGGAGGACACAAGAAGGGGGTCAGAAAGACTGCTTGTTGTTGTTCATAAAAAGAAAGCCATAGTCATTTCTATCGTGCCTGACTCTCATATATTTTGGATGGAAATCCTTCGTTTCGTGGCCAAAGATTACACCGAGCTGAAGCTGGAGATAAGCCTAGAAAAAGTTATAACACACAACATTCACCAGAAACAATGTCAGAGGTAAACAAGAGGGGTGAATCGATAAAACCAACTGCTACTTCTCAGCGAAGAGCAGTTGAGGAAAGATCTAATGAGCCAGGAAAGTGTTACATGCAGAGAAACAGTGCATGACTTTGGCCAAAATAACTCACTGTGCTGATAAAGACACTATAGCACTTCAGGGAAACATGCTACGACAACTTAACTTTAAATCAAATGAAATTTCCCCTCTGGGATACAGCATATGTCATTAGGGACTCCCTTTCAGCACACTTACTTCAGAGAGAGAGAGAGAGAGGGGGGGGGGGGGGGGAGGGGGAGGGGGAGGGGGAGGGGAGGGGGAGGGGGAGAGAGAGAGAGAGAGAGAGAGAGAGAGAGAGAGAGAGAGAGAGAGAGAGAGAGAGAGAGAGAGAGAGAGAGAGAGAGAGAGAGAGAGAGAGAGAGCTACATTGTCACTGCTGAAGACAACATTTTGTTGAAATTGCAAAAAGTAAAATGTTAATATACAATAAGTAATAATAACACTAATAACAATTATAAATAAAAATTTAACAAACAAATCAATAATAAATGTTTTATTTAAGTTAAAAATAAAATAATAATTAATTAATTAAAATTAAAATGTTAATATAACAATAAGTAACAATAACAATACTACTATACTAGTAATAATAATAATAATAATTAATGAATAAAACAAATCAAATAAATCAATACTAATTTTAAGTTAAAAAATAAAATAATTAATAAATTAATAATTAATATATAATATAAATATACATTGTCAGCCTCTCATTTATGTGTTAAATTTAAAAAAAAAACTCACAAGCCAACTTAAAAATACAGAACATAAATACCAAACTCGATTGTAGGCCAGCTACAGGCTAATATTTAATCATATAAATAAAACAATTAAATTGGAATGCCTAAGATTTAGCCTACTCATCTACAACAACAAGGTTATATCTAATACATTAAATAATCTTTATTTAGGGGCTTTAAAAGCAAATATTATGCAGAAAAAATATGGTTTAACTGCCCAAAAAACATTGCTAAAAATAACTATTAATCATTTTTTGGCAGAGCCTGTGAAAATCTGACAGCTGAAGTTAAGCACGAAAAGGGAGAGAAAAGGGGGACACTCATTCTAATAAGTTTTGTCAAACATGTGCTCATCAACTATCCCATGACTCACTCTTTCGTTCAATTACTATCCAAATAACCTCCAGCAACCCCCTCAGTCCCGGCTTTCTTCTGGGCCAGTAGGACTATTTAAAGCACCTGTTACTGATGGACCCCAGAGCGCAGCTGTCTATCTATCAATCACTCACCCAGAGGCGAAACGCTGAAGATCCCTGTCCCAGAGCCATCAGCACTTACACCCAAAACTCAAGGGTTTTCCCCTATATCAGCATTATTTTATGTTTCAACAATATTATATTTTGTATTTTTCATATGGAAAGATCACTGATCCTGGTACAGCTGTATTTTACGGAGCCGCTATGGGGACATGATTGAAAAAAAATACGAGAAGAGAGGAAAAATTATACTTCAAAGATTTTGCGTTTACTCGCAAAACTTTAGCTTTCTGTCACAAAAAGTATTGTGTTCCTCCCGAGAAACTGTGTTCTCTCCCACAACATTTGCATTATCTTGCAAAACTATTGCATTCCCCTGAAAAGTAAAAGCATTCAAATATATTTTTTTCACCCATCTCACTTTTTTCCATCACCATATCATTATATATATATATATATATATATATATCGATTTGACAGCGCTAAAATTGATATATTCTCACACATCTGCATGAGTGAGTGAGTGCATAGCGATAAAATAAATGAGGTGAGTGGTATTTCCTGTAGAGGCAGCAGGCCAACCCCATGTGACACAGTTCATACACACACACACACACACACACACACACACACTTTCTTGGACGAGAGTGCAAGAGTTTCTCCTGCACCTCTTTCACCCTACACTCTTGCGTAAGGAGGGATGTGAGAGGCAGGTGCCATTCTGGAAAGATCCCTCTCATTGCCAATGACAGACGGGCTGAAAGCACTGCTGTCATGTGTCATGTGCCAGTGTGTGAGACTGTTGGCTCCTTCCCCCAAACTAACAAGATGGCCACATCTTGCGTCAAGTCCCTTCCAATAAAAGCCACTCTCATTCAGTCTCTGTCATTGGTGAAATCAAGCCTTTACTATCAACATACCAGCTCCACAATACTAATGAACATTGCCCTTTTTCTGTTGTACAGTATGCCCAGTTGTTTTGAAAGAATGCAATGCTGCCAGGCCCTGACACCCACCACTCAGACACCAGAACAATCTAGATCTTTTCCCACTGCAAAAACACCAACACTGACCCAAGAACAGATCCCAGGGTCATTTCTATAAGAGAAGCCAAGATGATCTAGAAACATGCTTTTTATTAATATGTATGATATTTGGTGCATTATGATAAAACATAATGAATTCTAGTGTGGACATTGTCATATGAGAGTTCTCCCAAATCAGCCGCATTTACAGAAGTGATGTTGATGCCCTTCCTATTAGACTGTCAGTCTACCACTAAAATAACTGGAATATCTCTAAATACAGAGAGAGACACTTAGATAAATGCAATAAAAAACACCTTCTTAACGCATATTTCACACATCAAGGAAACATTCTAATCAATGATCATTTTTTGTATGCAGGTCTTTTCTAAATGAGGCAGATCCACAAACCCATACTAACATTGCATCTAATCTGGGTTTGGGACTGTGCTCCAAAGGGGTATAAAATTAGGAAGAAAAGTGCTGTTCAAAGATCTGTTTTTACCTCATATTGAATAAGATAAGGAGCAGTGGATGTCAGATCACAGAAATCATCAAAGAATCAAATTGGCAAAATGTATCTATAAATTGAACAATATATCAGTCAGGCTAATTCATCTGACAATCTGAGATTATCAGCATTATCTGATATCCAATATATCAACAGCCTTAACAATGGATAATGCATATTCTGTTTCAAACATTATTGTTGTCACTCTGATGTATAACATTAACATATAGTGTAAGATAATTTAATTGCATTATAATCACATTGAAAAGGCTACATTCAAAGAAATATCATAATAGGCCTAAATTATTCATATTTTCTATTTGAATGTACAAGTGTTATACTAGTCTGTTAAACTTTATATAGCCCTAATATTTATTAATGAAACTTAATATAAATTGTATTCAATGTGCAAATTAGGCTATTACACAACGGCAAAAAATCATTTGACATTTTCTTCAGGGACATCTCTATTGTTTAGAAAAAATATAAGTGTGTGTGGACAATCTAATAATACTTCAGTCCTTCCAAAATGATCATTAATGGAATTATAACAAATGAGAATCAATATTTACAGTTAAAATGGAAACAAACCCCATATAACCAGGCTAATTATGGGTAGTTTGTGTGGTCTTACAACTCTAATTAAGGCTTGAGTCAAAACAAGCGGTTGAGGGGGCTTTCGTTATACACATAGGCCTACGTAAGTATTCATTTCAAGATTTTGATACAATGTTTCACAAACGAAAAAAGTTAAATTACAAGTTAAGGTGATGATACACAGGGCAACAATGTGAGCAATGTTGCTGGGCAATCTTGCCGAGCGATTGTTGCTTGGGCACTTTCCCATTGAAAATGGGAAATACATTTCTATCTGGATAATTTAGATCGGTCATGGACCCTGTGTCTCATCTGGTTGCCCGTTGACGGCAACATTGCCCAGCAGCATTGCTCAAAAAGTTGCCCTGTGTATCATCACCTTAAGTCATATAGCAAGAACTTCAACTGATGAGGTAACCATAGCAACAGTTCGCAGCTCGAGCGCGTCCCGTTACGATAACATTACCACAGCACAAATAGTCATTGCTAGACACTTAATTAAATATTTACACATAGCAAAACCTTTTTGTGTGTTTTGTTTTAAACAACTTTTAGGCGGCATAAAATCTCAACGAATCCACCGCGTCGAGTGCAAATGTATACGCAACGAAACAGCACTTACCTATAGAAACTAGTCTGATGTGTTCCCTTTCTAGAAACTCCAGCGCGACAGACACATTCTCCAGCTTCATCTGCCTGAAATTGGGTCTGGCGTGGTATTTTCTGTACATTTTCTTCTGGCTGAGAACTTCCAGGAGCCCGATAAGCTTGAGCCCGTCGCTCAGGTCCTTCTGCAGGTCGTTGATCTTTTTGTTGACGCATTTCAGGTGTTCGTTGCACCACCTGGTGAAGGTGTTCTGCTGGATCTTCTTCCAGGGCGCATCCTCCGCCAGGTCCTTCTCCGTGGCCGGCATCTCCTCGTCTCCGTCCTCGCCGTTGTCGGTGCCCTGGTAATACTGCGGCGGCAGCTGCTGGTCGTAGTATGTATTATTGCTCATCATGTTTTTTTCCCCCGATGTTCTCGTGCACCCCTCTTAACGTTATACGACAATCTGTTAGACTTTTACAGCGCGAGGGGGAGTGGGAAAGGCCGGGGGAAAAGAAAAGAAAACGGAAGAAAGTTGGAAGCGCTTGCGGAAAAAAAAGCAGAGATAGGACTATTTGTCGGACAGGAACCAGCGTCGAAACACTTTTTAAGGACGAACTAGTGCAGAGCAAATTAATTTCCGCTATTTCCGTTAAATTTTAAATTCTTCCAAGCCGCCACTTTTTTAGACCGCTGTTAAAGAAAGTTCGTTCCTGCTTTGATTTACATTCAACTTTTCTGAAATAAAAGGAAAGACGGGAAAACAGACGCGGCTTCGTATATAGCCTACTTGAATGGTTAAATGAAGCATGAGGCGCTTTAAAAATCTGAGACCCCTCCGGCAGGGCTCACACGTCAGTCTGCAGGATCTCCTGGTATGCTGCTGTCATCATGACCATATACAACAGCGCGATGGGTGATTCTCTAATCTGACCGAGATAGTGAGACCGGCGCCCGATTGGGCGAAGCGCGCGACGGGGAAGGGGATTGGACAGACCCCGAGCGCCGCGACAGTTGTGACTGTCATTTCTATTTTTAGGAACCCCAAATTGGGCACTGGGGGGCTGGAGTTGCGCTTGTTGTAAAACGTGGGCTCTCTTTTAACAATTGGGACTGGAAAAAGCAACTGACAGCATAATTAAGTCTGTGAGATATTTTAACAGTGTGCTAAATATGAAAGCTAGCCTATACTGAAGAAAAGGCATGACAGACTATTTATTAATACATAATAAATAGTAGCCTATGAGAGTTTATTAATAAACAATATTATGGCCCCCAACTGACAAATCTCTATTCCAGTCAATGAAGTCATACACTGTAAAACAGTTTTGTTAAATTTAGCTGTATTGGAGATATTGTTAACTGTTCATGTTACAGTTCCTTACTGTATAGGCCTAGTCATTAAACTGTTGGCATAGGCACTAATATAGGTGGTAAAAAAAAAGTCATAATAATGACTTGTAAAAAAAATGCATAAAAATGTGAATGTTAAAAATGTTATTAGCCAATAACAGATACAGTGCACAGTTTACCACATTTTTTAAATTCAAATAAGTAGGCTAACTTACATAATACCTTGTTAAATAAAAATTAAGGTAACTCATAAGTTTAAAGTTATAATGTATGTATATATTATGTATTTACAAACGGTTATGTTAAATGCTATACCTTGTGTGTGTGTGTGTGTGTGTGTTCAAGGTATTCCCCACATTCTTATCATTATATCCCCATAAGGATGATAAATCATATATTCTGATAATATAAATTCTAGAAGCTATGGATTGTGAGATTATGAAAGGGTAGACTGGGGCTACTAGTTTACGGTTTGTGCCATTTAAACCTTGTTGTTACAGAGATATGGCCATATCATGTAACCGTCATGTAAACAATGATGATTCAGACCCCAAAAAAAACTGCTTACAAACCATTTCATGACCTTGGGTCCCAGTGCTGTCAAATGTCACAACCTGGAAGCTTGTATCATTTGACATGTTACAAACGTTCTCATATATGTGGTTTAAACACTTTATGAAAATATGACAAACATTTAATAAAAAGTTGTGCTATAGAGTAGTCGCAGGACTAAATTCATTACAATAACAAACTGCGAGATCCTATGGGCCTGTACTGAAATGTATACAGTGAATGTGTAACAGTAATACAGAATGAGTTATTGTAATTCAGAGTGTTTGCTCCTGTGGCAAACGGTGACTAAACCATATACAGGCATATGGTTCACTATTACTGGAAAAGAAGGACCCCCGTGGACATGTGTCATGCACAAAGACATAAATTCAGATGTGTCCAAAAGAAAAGCAACCTTTTCCACAGACTGACACACAAAACCCAGGAATAGAAGAGGTTCATATACTCACAATGAAGTCACAGCCATGACTCAGAACCTCAGCACGCTTCGATGTGGACTGACGAATAATACAAATGTGAAGGTCAGAGGAATGACGGGGGACATCTGTTTATCATTTGGTGAAAGCTATATGGATGTCAGCTCACCTTATGATTCAACAACAGGCTGAAACAAAAACTAGCTCTGATCTGATCAGAATAAACGAGCACATATATTAAATCAGGATGCTCTGGACAAACTACTTTATTTGTTCCTGTTCATTTACAAAATATACATGGTTACCAAAATACTTCAAATATCATTATTGTTATTATTAATGTTTAAATAAATGCCTGGTAAGGCAGGACAACATGTAAACATATCAAAGACACTGTACAGAACAGTTACAATTACACAACCATATACAGACAAGCAGCAGCATCGCCACATACTGGCATTTCCATACATTTACCACCCATCAGCATCCATTAAAGCGCATTTACAAACGATTGTGTTGGTCTGTACAACTTGCAATTCTCTCAACAACTTAAAGACTTTAAATAGAAGATAAATGGAACAGAAGAGAGAACTGGAGTGGAAATGTACAGTATGGACTTCAAATAGAGATAAAATGACATTCAAGATTCATTGATAAAGTGAATCGCTTCATATAATATTTCGTAATAAGGTCTATTTAGAGAAAAAGGATAGCACTTTATTTTACAGTCCATGTACATACCATGTACTTATTGTAGTAGTAATAACTAGGTACTAACCCTGGCCTGAACACACTCCTAAACCTATAACCCATGAGGTTACCTTACTCAGTACTTTCTGGGCAAGTACACTTTATAAGTACATTGAAAGTCCACGTACTGTAAAATAAACTATAACCAAAAACTGGGCTTTCCAAAAGTTATTTGCTACAATTTCAAATCATAAGCAACAGATAAAGTAATATTTTAGAAGAGAACATACATTGGTCTTCATATAATCAACACACACAAAAAGAAAATCAGTTAAGTTGCAGATTTGGACAATGCATGCGACGTCTATAACTGGAACAAAATTGTGACAGCAGCTAAAATCTACAACTGGTTTCTATCACTCAACATGCAGAATCTACTGGCACGGACATGCAAATGCACAATTTGTACATATTACATCATTTACAGGTGCTGAGTGGAAGTGTGTGAATTTTGTTCTGACTCATAATTGACTCATTTGGATGTAAAATAATGAAAAATTCATATTCCATTTCATCAAAGTAACAAACTATCCAATGCGGGGCAGGACAAATAGCAAGTTTATTTCAAAGACAAGTCACTGTGTAGCATGCACTCTTATAGAAAGTCAGCTGACCATTGATACATTGAACATTCAGTTGTGCTACCACTGAGTTCTGAGTCTATCAACGGGGTAGCAGAAAACGGCACTGGAATGACCTTGGGATACTGTAAATATTCCCAAACACTGAGACTCGGCAACAGCTAATGCCAAGTCTTAAAACCACACTACGAAGACCACTGCCACAACGCTAGTCAACCGTCTATGTCTACTATTGTTTAGTCACGTTGATACTTTGTGCTGTTAAAAAATTAGACAAAAAGACAACCTGTGTGTATACCAGAAACGATTATAGTAATAGATACACTGATAGATTCTGTTCATAGCAATAGTACCTCAAGGCTCTTACCCAGAATCTTTCATGATGGATATGAGTTTAGTGGCAGTAATATTAATCTTCCTACAGGAGGGCACTTTTATAATAGTCCGCATCCACACAAAGAACTCAAAATTGTGACTTCTGATGTAAAAAGCTACATTTAAGTACGTATTTGTCTCTTTCAAACTTCTTTAGTTAAACATACATTATTTAAGACAAGTTTCTTATCGTCGTAACTTTTTTTGGTGAAAGGCAGTATGGAAGTTTCCGCTTCTAGCATTTTTATAAGCTAGATTCATTCATGCTATGGATTTATGCTACAGATTGAATTGCATTGTAAGAAACATCTATGTCATGGTTTTCTATAAGAGATTATGACAGTAGTTCTCAACTGGTTTTCACTTTACACATTAAGTGGCCATCAAACATGCTATTGAAATAGATTTTTTGTACTTAAACATATGTCAAACGTTAAAATGTATTAATATTAGCATGAACTGCATAGGCCCAACAATATGCAAAATGATTACCATGATTTGGGTAGATTTACAGACTACAACAGACCTTTTTAAAGGTCTTATTTGAGCTTTTTTTATATTTTGCTACATTATTTTAACCGTCGGACTGTTTTTCCCTGCTGACACTTTGAAAATATACCTGCGACTTATTTTTGGGTCCCAAAAGGCCAATTGAGAACCACTTGTTTATGACATTTTGTACTTTCTGTAATAACCTTCAGTTCCAACTCTGTACTTTGCCTCAGTTTCTTTGGAGAGAAAATATGACAGCTGTGTTTTGCATTGCTAACATGCAAAAAAAAAAGAGAGAGAGAGCAAAGAACCTCAGATGAAATCATCAATGCGACATCAGTGGAGTTACAGTAGATATGTGCTTGTTAATTATACTCATCTCAGAGTTCTTTTAGTGTCAATTTAGTGATTAGTCAACCCTTGTATAAAAATATCTATCACTCTTTAGCATCATTTATCAATCTACACTCACAAAATTAATCTATACATTTCATGTGTTGGAATAAACAATTCAGATACAAAAATATCTGTGGAAAGTTTAAAATAAGCATGTTTACCTGTTGGAATAACCTTAACTCACCTGGAATCTTCCTTTTTTTTCACCAAAATGAATGTAAAATGAGCATATAGATACGCTGTACAGTTACCTACAGAGTTTTTGAGTTATAAACATGCCATGGATGAAAGTGAAAGAAGTTCTCAGATATTGAATCTAAACACAAACCATTCTGAAAGTACTCAGACTTCAGTACGTAGTTATTACAAATGGGAAGATCCAGGAAGATTAAATAAATACTGCATGCTTCTACCTAATCAAAAAGCAATGAAGCACAACGCAATATGCTGCATCCAAAGCGTTGTTGATGAAGGACGGCATCCTCTTCAGTCCCCAAGAGATCTGTTTGTTTTTGATAGCCAACAAAGAGGTAAATTGTGCAAATGTTCTATCTAAAAGTGATAAGGCAAATTGTTTCGAGAGGACCTTTGCAATTGTCCATTAAGGAAAGAAAACAACTCATGAAATGGAAAGCGGGGAGCTAGACCAATCAGAAGCTCCTCCATTCGGACCTTTTAAATACCCACGGCATGGCATCAGTGTCTGTAGCACTACTGGTCGAAGCGGATATGACTGTCTACAAAAGCAGAGCAAAGCAGTTGAGGCGGCGAACAACCAGCATCACAATACACATCAAAAAGCATCAAGTTGTGTTCCCGTATGACCCAGGTGAGTAATGGTTTCAGGTCACATTTGTTGGTTAAATGTGGTCGGGGTGATAGAGTTGTGTACCATGGGCAGAGTGAGATGATGAGGTCACTTCCTGTCCAGCCCTCAGGCCAGAGCTCTGGTGAAACTGGGAATGAGTAGAACTGCTGCTGCTGCCACAGCAACAAGCATCACCAGGTTCCAGTCTCCCTCGTTATCCTGAGGTCAATGAGAAGAAAATAATGACATCAGAGGGTAAAGGTCAACAGAGGTCATATTTAAATAGTTATTGTCCTACTATTCATCATTACTCTTAATTATTCTTCTTTAATATTATTATAATTGTAGTATAGAATTTTGATTTTGGCCATTTAACGGTTATTGACCATATATATTTTGATATTTTATTGACATAATTTTGATTTGATATGATTTAGATTTGATATGTATATATATATATATATATATATATAAAATATTGAATTAAAAAATATACTGTACATAATTCAAAATTATATATTTTAATATGAATGATATTATACATTTCATATTTTTTTATATACACATTATATAAAATTAGAAAACATAATCAAATTATAAAATTATATTATAGAATTTTATAATATATAAAAAATGATATATTTTGTCTAAGTAAAAAATAATATTGGCTAATCAACAATATCGGTATTGTGCATTTCTAATTTTGTAAAAGTTAACTTTTATATACACATTTAAAAATAAATCACAATTCAAATCCTTCTCTTCCAACTCTCTTTAACTTTAAAATCCATATATTTTTTCTAACAAACAGGCTTTGGTGTTCTAGACATTTTTCATCTAGGCGTTCACCAAAAGCAAAACACTCACCAATGTTGTTGAAACTGCACAAACCAGAGCCGGAACACAATTTGTCTCTGGCTAGAATTCAGACTAAGGCCACAGAACTGATCTGGTTTTAATGAACCTTCTGAGGACTTGTTTATTCCTAGTCATCTTCTGTTATAGTGCTGGATATGAGAGCTAAATATACCCATCCAGAAATGTGGAGAGATACAAAGCCAAGAGCAATGACCCAGTAAATACTCCAATCACTGTCACACACGTTCTCTTTTACATACTCTATTACTCTCTCTCCATCTGGCGTTGTGAAATTGGCAGTGGAAACCACATGACTGTCCAGTGGAATCAAGGAACTGTGTAAGTGTGAGTGTGTGTGGCTTCGGTCGGTCCTGCTGGGCAGCAGAACTGTTGAAATCAGAGGTGTGTCATGCGTTTGGCTGGGATAATAATGCTCGGGAATCTCAGAGGATGCCTGAATATGACTTCATGCGATCTGATTTTTGATGGTGCCAAAAATCCTGACTGAAAAACATAAGAAATGCAGTACGTCTATGATGCAAAAAATTTGTCTCTACTACAAAAGCACACTCATTTGCCAATGTTCTTTGGGTGCATTTTGGGGTGTTTTTTATGCATTTTTCTATATACAGGATTGATTTTGCTCAAAGAACTGATCCATTTTTTTAACGCACTCCATCCTAAAGAGAGTTTTAAATGTGTTTAAGGAAGTGTTTAGGAAACCTGTTTGCAGTAAAGAATCAATGCAACTGGAGAATATAATTTTCTGTCCAGTAAAGATGTTTGGGAAATAGAAATAGAAAAAAAAAAAATCTTCTGTTGACAGGAATTGCTCTATTTTTGCTCTATAAGTCTAAGACTAATACAAACGTGTTTAACTAACATTAGCCTAATCAATCCTCATTCCTCTGGAAACTTTGTTCAGAAATATTTTTTCCTGCAAAGTTGAGATTTACATGTCCATTTAAACGCAAGTTGTCCTTTCAGACTAGTTAAATGGAAAACTACGATTGTGAAACAATGTGCACATCCATAAAAGGCCCTCGTAAAGAATCAGGCACTGTGTCCAATGGGCAAACAGGCTTGTTTAGCATGACAGTTATGACCATTCATTAGGGCTTATAAAAAGTGATATTTTGACCAGGATAAAGATGAGTTTCACAGTACAGGAGGGACAAAAAGGCTCGTCTCTGGACTCTTAGAGAAAGAAAAGGCAAAGCCATACCTTTCCCCCTTTAGGACAAGAGCTCCTTCCAGCAGCACCATATCAGGCCCATTATTACAACCATTCCTATGAAGGGTATGGAGAGAATAGGGCACTCAGACGAAGGAGTGGAGCTCTGAGGAAAAACACAGGGGGTGCAGGGATGGAGAGGAGAAGAGGAGGAAGAGGTGGTGAGAGAAACAAAAGAAAAAAAAATGACACACTCAAAATAAAGAAAATGATTACACATGGGAGGTTTGTGCACATGTGAAATTACAGGTAAATAAAACATGGAAAACAATTAAATAAAATAAAAGTAATATAGAGAGAAAGAATGAAGAGTGTGAGGATGAAAGGGAGAAAACAACCAGATAGATAGATAGATAGATAGATAGATAGATAGATAGATAGATAGATAGATAGATAGATAGATAGATAGATAGATAGATAGATAGATAGATAGATAGATAGATAGATAGATAGATAGATAGATAGATAGATAGATAGATAGATAGATGCCAGCAGTTTATCAGGAATCATCAAATTTGTTTGGAATTTGATATAGTGCAGTGTGTGTTGTGAGCATATGGGTGTTTATGGTATGTTTATGTAGGCGTTCGGTGGTCAGAAAGCAACAGAACGAAGCAATGAAGGACCACGGGGGAGCAGGGAGACAGGAAAATACACCGAGATTAGATACACAGCAAAGATGGTTAAACACAAAATGGAAACCTTGTGCTCGCTTTGACCCTCCGGCTGATGAACACAGAGCCAAGGTTGCCATCTTGGCATTTAAAGATCCTTGCCCACACTGCACAGCCAGCCCACTCTATTAAACCAAACAAAGTACTGGGATAAATCTGTCAACAGCATCTGAGATATGTTGTTGAACACCATGGAAAAAAAATTGGATTCATCCCTCAGCTTGTAAAGATAAGTTGGGAGAAAGTGTTGTACTTTTCCCCCCATATTCTTACATTGTAAGTGTTTTTGCAAAGGGAAGGACAGGTCATAAAAGAGAACGACCAATACAAAACAATACAAAAAAAGAGAAAGGACTGTAGGACTGTGTTCACCCTTTTAGAGGGAATGAACCACTCATAAAGCATCACAAATGGTAATCAAATCATTATAATGTAAAACACAGAACTTAATTTTTTCACCGAAACCAAGTGTAAAGTTTTCATAGCCAAAAAATAAAACCAAAATTAAATTTTTGGTAATTAAATTAGGTCAGTTCGGTAACTAGACTCGGTTTGATGTTTAGGGTGTTGTGTTCACATGTGATAAATCAGCCACAAGATGCTTCTCAGCTGAACAAATTTGACATATTATTAGTCTAGCATCATTTTTGTCACAGTGAAGTGAGTTCACACTGCTGACATGAAAAAATATATACGCTGACACATTTAAAATGCATTATCATAGAAGTGTTTACTGTTCCAGAGCTATTTTTGCTGTTTCAGATGAATATTTTCAGCTGCTGATATTTCCGTGCATCATATAAAACAATTGACATTTGAACAACAGCATTGCAAAATATAAAAATATATGCAAATATTGAAGAAGTCACTCAATTACTGTATGTCATTCACAATGCTTTATGGGTAATGGGTGTGGTTGCTAATTTGCATGATTTCTGTTTTCAGTGATTCAAAGTGATTTTTCTGAATGATTAAACCAATGCTGCGTTCCAGGCAGGTTTCTGAGCACGGAAATCACGACTTCAAACCACGACTCACGACTTTGTAGCATTCCAGGCCAGTCATGCCAAACTACCTGTGCGCAAGGAATTGTGGTAGCTAGATGTAAATAAACCAGCATGGCGGACCTTACGGGGCTTATGCGCATTTTGTAATAATTTCTGTCGGCAAAGGTGCTTACTCCTTGTTTATTTGAGGGAAACGGAGGAGGAAAAAGCAGCGCATAAGGCAAGATAAGCTGATATACCTTTTATTTTACTTTATTTGCATATTTGGAAATGTATTTGGTATTAATTTATCCTTGCACTCAATGGACTGAAAATTAGTTAACGTTATATTGTCCTAAAGTGTATTCTCACCTGCAGAAACACTGCATCCGTAGGGGCTGCCATTGTTGTTTTGTATGGTTTCGCGGGCTATGTGACGTCAGAGCTCGTAACTGGGAGTACATCGATCTAGTACGAGTTCACGGGTGGGAAGTCACGGGTTTGAATGCCGTTCCAGTGCACTTTCACGGGTATAAGGTTGGAAAAACACGGGTTACAGGTTGCCTGGAACGCGGCATAAATGGGATGTTTTTCTTCTGAAACCTGTGATTTTCTGTGATATTCGCTAACATGTGACAGATTCTGTTGACAGAGCTCCATTCGAAGGCGGCAGAACAGTGTGAGTGAGGGGTTAACCACACAATTAAAGTACAACTATGGAGGACGGATGATTGACATGGGACACGGTACTCAGACTGGACAGACTCTTTGATAGGAAAAAACCTTAATTAATTAGGATTTCTGTGGCTTGGATTCTAAGACCTTGTTGTTAGACAGTACAGGGGTTAGAAAGACCTCTATGTCAGTGCACATTGTACACACACAAAAGCTTGATATGCTACAGTGGATCAACAAAACTAGCAAAACACATTAGCTGCTAGAGGTTTGACAAACACAAGATGTGAAAACACACGCAGCCCAGAATCAATGTGTGTGACAGGGCAAAAAGCAACCCAAAGTGAAACATACACACTCGACCAAAAATGGCAGAGTGGTTTAGTTAGACAGGATGCGCTTTGAAAGACAGGTGCTGCTATTGGACAGATGGTCACTTCAGGGGTGGTTGACCCCACATGCAAAACGTTAGTCATGTACAGAGCATTTTCAAACGCTGACAAACATGTAGATCGATGGAGTCATGGTGTCATTCTGTTGACAATATCTCGCCCTACTTGCTGTGTGAGTAATGTCTGTTTGTTTTCAGCATGTGTACAGTGCAGTGATTTATTTGAGGTCACATTCTTTCTCCCAGGAAGTCCATACATTCCACAACCTATGGGAAGAAAGTAGTGTGTTTTGACTGATGCCCCTTTATGACCCCTCACCTGAGCCTTCCTCCCGGCCAGCCGATCAAGCTCCGCCCTACAGCGCTGTAGCTCCGCCTCTAGCTCCGCCCTCTCCCTCTGGCTGCCCTCGTACAGCCCCTGCAGTTCCACAAGCTCTCCTTTTATTCCCTCACACTGAAAGATGAAAGGGGGAGATATAGAGAAATAACAAATAATATAGGATAAGTGAATAGATTCAGTGACAGGGGAGAGTTTTAGCTTGTGTTTAAACCTTTGTTTAATCATTTCATTATTCAATAGTGGACAGACGAATCAAATTTTCGTTGTCACACTGTCAGGATATATTCAGCAATATTTCCCGCAAGGTCATGCGGTTGAACCACTGAAGGTAAAATAACAAATTAATACCACGATAGATGGTTTTATTTTCAACCTGACATGACAAAATTTACCCCATACTGAAAATATGGAAAATATTTTTCATAGTATTTTTTGTCATAAATTAGTTAAAAGAAATATATATTTTTAATATATTAGATAATATCATCACAAATTATATATACTGTGTATGTGTGTGTGTATATATACAGTATATACATATATATAAATTGAACATACAATGTCTCTTTTTGGACCAGACTCTTATGTACAGTAATACAGATCAATGAGAAAGTAAAGTTAACATGAAAACTGATCACAAAGCACAATTCTTGATTTTATCCACCAGCAATGTGAAAATTGACAGGTGGTTATTTTGAACATCATTAACTAAAAATGATACAATAAGGTTTAAAATAGAACATGCACACTCTAATGTTCAAGCTTCTGTTATTTTGCCAAGTGGGCACGGTACCTCTCTCTGGACCTGTGATGCTCTCTCCTCGGCCTGTTTCAGCTGGTCTCGGAGGGAAAACACCTCTGAGAAGCCTCCACTCCTGCCTGTCGGGGTGGCGGGCTTCCCCTCAAACGAGATGTTCTTCTGAGTGTAAGCGTCCACCCAGTTCCCACCTTCTACCTCCAATGTGCTGACAAATCCCTCAGCCTTCACCTCCTTTTCTGTGTCATTTTCTCCATGGTTCTGCTCTGCTTTCAGGGCCAGGCATGAATCAGCTGAGCTGTCAGGATAGAAATGGGACAAGGAAACGTTCAGGACATTTATTATAGATAGATGTACAAGCGGTGGTGCATTTTTTTTATTATTACTAATGTACTTGAACTTGTGAGCTCCTGCTGCACTTTTTCAGATTAGCTTCATATTGTGACTGAGTGTGAATGTGTGTACTCATACTCATCATCAAATCCTTTTCATAATTATTTATTCAAAATCAAAATACATAAAACAAATCCCATTAATTAGAAAATTAGAAAAATGGTGGTGCTGAAATGTGTGTGTTTGGCCAGAACTCAAATCAGACAACTTATTATAGTTTAATTTTTCAAAACTTTAAAATGTTTATAATCAGCTGTTCTCACATCGGAGAGAACTTATTCTTTTAAGCTGAAACATCTAGCACTAGTTTGAAAAACATGATGGTATATTTACAGAAGCATTAGTTTCATAAAGTCAGATAATATCTTGATGTCTTAAAATAGCTGTGGCTCATCTCACAGCGGGTATATTTGGATTAGATGAAATACACAGTCATTAATGCTTCATGTTGCTGTGAAACACTTTCATAGCTGCTAAATAGTTTTAGTGAGAGTGTCCATTGAGACAGATTATGGCTGAATGCTTCATCGGTCACACCAGCCTTATTAACAGAGACCGTTCGCGATGCTCACTGGCTGATTTATCTTGTGTGTGTGTGACTGACAGGCCCTGTGGCCAATCACCTGGCTCGCTGCTGCTCCAGCATCTCCAGTTTCTCAGAAAGCTGCTTGTTGCCATTCTTCAGAGTCTGACACTCGTCCTTCAAGGAGCAACACTCCTCAATCAGTTGGTCCATGTCACCTGTCCCATTACAACACGAGAAGAGAACAGATGTCAAAGCAGAATGGGGTGAAACACTGAATACAGAATGTTAGCATACTACTCTTACTATTTCTGCAATTATAAATGTATGTTCAAAATGAAATACTACAATACTACTTATACTACTTATTGCAGTATGCAGTACAGTATGTTTTCTATTTGAATATATTTGAGAATTTTGTTTCTTTCTGTGATGGCAAAGCTGAATTTTCAGCAGTCATTACTCCAGTCTTCAGTGTCACATGATCCTTCAGAAATCATTCTAATGCTGATTTGGTGGACAAGTAGCTTTTTTTATTATTATTATCAATGTTGAAAGAAGTTGGCCTGCTTAATATTTTTGTGGAAACCATGTTTTCAAGTCTTTACAGTCACTTTTGATAAATTGAATGCGTCCTTGCTGAATAAATGTATTAATTTAAGGAAAACTGACCCCAAACATTCAAATGGTAGTGTGCATAATGATAACCACTGCAAACTATTATTTTCTACAATCCATTGTTGTCACATGACCTTCGTTAAATAGCTACTTAAGTGAGTGGTGTTAAGTCATCTTGTATATTTCATCAAATTTTTTTATCTACATTTTTAGCAGTACATATTGCTTCTGTTTCACTTAAAATGGAAGGTTGGGCGCATTGCATTGTGGGATACAGTATCCCATGCAGTGTTCTCTGCTTGCAAACTACACATTTAAATATATATTAAGATATTTCATGCCTAAAAATGCTTACTTTACCCAGTATACATGCTGCATACTACATAAAAAAACAGCAGTAGTATAATAGTATTACACTTGGAACATACATACTCACTGTCCTAAGGGCCAAACTGCAAGCAATACGAAGGCTACATGTCTATGGCAGGAAAATATTGAACATTTGACCAGACAGCTGTAAATGCACACTGAACCCTGTAACTAGTCTCCATGGAAACAACCAATACCACCCTCTCTTCCCTCTGCAGCAGTCTGACCTGTCAATCAAGAGTCATGTTTGCCTTGCACATCCCCCATGGTGCAACGTTCAACCCCCGATAGCCTAGTCTCTAATCTAGAAGGAATCTCACTTGTAAAAACAACTCACACACATCTGCACTCTGTCTCTGCCAGGCCTGAGTGAGTACGTGGTGTAAATAACCATCAGAAGCGCATGTACTGATAAACAACTTCGCCTCAGCTGCATCTGACCCCAGATCAGAGTTAACATGAATGCCTCGATCACAGGCTCTGATGTGTTCGTGTTCAACACTGTTTTGCGATCAGCGTGTCTAACCCCACGTCCCCACCAGCAATCGCTGGTATGTTGTTTTTATTTCAGATCTTAATATAGTAAACTTCTAACAGCATCATGGGAGCAGAAAGCAGCCCCAGCGCCCTTAGAGGCAGAGAAAGACATCAACACCAGACAAATGGGGCTCAGCGGAGCTCCTGCACTCTGTCAGAATGTCAAACAGACACTTAGACCCTGAAAGAACCTGTAATACAATCACATTTGTCAGTGGAAATGCATACTGGGTAATATCAGAGCACTGTGTCATATCAGGCAATGGGGAAGAAAGTTGATAAAATATGTCTGTATCACACAACAGGGTTTATTTGCTATCAGCATCTGCCATTTATAATGCTGCAATGAGGTGATGTGATAAAAAGAAACGACTTGCTGGAGAAATCTCAGCTGGCTAATGCACAAAAACACAGATGAGGTCTGGAAAAAGTGACTCCATAGAGTTGTGAGAACAGAAGATTTAACTTTGCATGTCTGACTGCTAATATGTTTATATTGAGATATGCTAATGATATTACCTTGGTATCACCTAATCTTCACATAAACATTTTTGTGTTTTAACATTTTAATTAAGGTATTATTTAGTATGTTTATTAAGCCCAGTGTTATTTTAGAATTATTTATATACTATAGTTTTATTAATATTTTGAATTAGCTTTTGTTTTTATATTTTCAGGTTTTATTTATATATATATATATATATATATATATATATCTACATAGCTTTAATTTATTGTTCAGTTATTTTTCAGTATTTCCGTTTTAGTTTTATCGAAATTCAACTTCAAGGCAACATTTCTAATTTTCATTCACAGTAAGTATTTTAAGTTCAAGTTTTTCATCTAAGATTTATATTTTATTTCAGCTTTATTTTATCTTTATTTTATTGTATTTTAGCTTTACTTTATCATTTATTTCTACATAGTTTTATTTTATTTTTCCGTTATTTTTCAGTATTTTAGTTTTATTGTACTACTTCAAATTCAAGGCAGCATTTCTATTTTTCATCGCGAGTGCGAGACAACCTGCCACAATCACACGATCCAACAATCCAATAAGTTGACTGAATAAAGTACCGCCCACATTTTTTCTTGTTTGAGAAGTCAATAGTGAAGAAAAGGCTATCCCAACTTCCGTTTCATGCTGACGTTAACAGAATATCCAACCAGTTGCATCAGAAAGCTCATGCTGGCCAACAAGGCTTCACTAGTTCATTTTGCTAGCAAACGGCATGGCTATGCTGATCCACCAGCCAGGCCAGCACCAAACCAGCTCTAACCAGTATCAACTGGTATAAACTGGTCTTTTTAGAGATATCCCTATAGTTTGAGCCTGTAGTGTGGTGGGAATCAGACCTTCTCCTCCTGTTCTGCGCTGGTTCTTCATGCTGATTTCGGCCCGCAGCGTGGTCAGCTCCAGCTCGTACTCCTGCGTGGTGCCGTGCAGACGCTCCAACTCGGCACGCACACGGCACAGTTCCTCCTGGAGCAGGGCGATGTCATTCTCCCGCTCGGCTGCCGCCTCCTCCGCCGCCTGCTGAAGCTCCTGCACTTCCTCCTGTGCCACACGCAGCTCCTCTTGAGCCTCCCACAGCTCGCTGGCCTTCTCCTCCTCAAGGCTGTCCAGCTCCTCCTGCACTGAGCGCAGCTGGCCTGTGGGTCACAAGTTGGGACAGAACAACATTTTTCAACTGAAAATTGGGTTATAAAAAGTACATTGCCTTTTATGCTGCTTACTATTTTTTTTAAATAGTATGTGAAACAGTATGCAGTATGCAACAACAATAAACATTTTAAACAGTGCTACATTGTTGTCACATGGTATCACCACATTGAATGTTTATTTCAGCATGTGGTGCCCGGTTATTATCTTGGAAATAGATCAAAATGTAATGTTTAAAAAAACACAATTAATAAAATAACATTTATTTCTAATCCACATTTGTGTAAAACTATCTTTAACTCCTGCAGTGTTTTTATTGTTAACTACAACTAAAACTATTCAAAAAAGTTTTTGGTAATTGAAATAAAGCTGAAATAAAATAAAATAAAAATAAACAAATGAAAATTCTAAATGTTGCCTTGGCAACTAACTAAAATAAACCAATTTAAGTACTAAAATTACTAAAAATAAAATAAATGACTGATATATAGAAATATGTAAACTACATAAACATTATGTTTAAAAATTAAAAAATTAAAGCTAATTCAAATACTTCATATTGTGGGTCATCTAGTTATTTAGTGTACACAGAAAGTATGGATACTATGCACATCATACATAGTGTATACTGCAGAAATAGTAGGAGTATTGTGCTATTTCCGAATATGTGTGAGCTGTCAAATACTAAAATCCATGTAACATTTATATGAACCTCTTAAGGGCACCAAGACCATATGAGGTCTATAATCAGCTACTTCACTGGAAACCAAGCACATCTGAAGTGAAAAATATGTCTCATTACAGCAATCACTCTGCATGCCCTGTTGTTGAGTAGCAAAAAATGTCAAAACCTCTCAAACTAACCACACAAAGCATGAATTTCAGTCTGCAGGGGCTTTTTTGAACAACTATAATCCGTCTCTTTCTTGCAAGGCGGGAATACGGACAGTAAAAAAAAAAACACAGGCTGTGATTAAACCGAAAAAACGGTTTCTCCGTTATACAGTGTGTGAATCTTATTCTGGCAGATGTTTGTTATGTTATTCATATCTGTGATTGCATTACTTATGATGGTATCTTGGCATAGCCCATGCACTTCTGCAAATGCTGGTTTACTTTGCCTCCTCACAGTTCATTTAATTTAATTACAGCGCAGCCACTGAGAGAGTGAAAGTGAGTCACTGGGGAAGAGAACAACATTTACATCACCTCTGCTTCTCCCATCTCTCCACTGCTCAAACACTCGCACCCCAAGTGGCAGTCGACCAAACAAATGAGAACAGGATGGCATGGGAACATGGGAACATTTTAAACAGTAGTATTCTACACTGTCAAATTTAGAGTGACGTGTCCAATTATCATTTCTGCAACACAAAAATATCAAATAAAATAATAAATGACACAAATGAAATAAGATGACATTATTAAAATTAAAATAAATATTGCATGATAAATGAAATAAGATTGCATGATTAAAAATTACACAATAAATAATAAATAAAAATAAACAAAATAAAATAAGATGAAACAAAATGAGAAAAATAAAATAAAATAATTAAAGTTTCCAAGTAATCCATGATCGTGTCAATTGTTTTCAGACCATGAAAGGTCAAGTCAAGCACATTGCATTGTGGTATAAAGTACTATATAGTGTCTATTGTGACTTGTGTCTAATGTTATTTGGGTATTTAACGCATACAAAAAATCTGCAGGTTATACATATAGTATATAGGCCTACTGCAAAAATAGTAAGAGTATTTATTTCCAAACATTGCCAATGTTTTCTATTTTTACCCCACAGTATAAAAATATGAATATGTAAATGGCCTTTTTAAATCATCAGTGGTCTTGATAAAATTATAAAACAGCTAGATAAATCAAGATCAGGGCCGGCCCGAGGCATAAGCGAACTAAGCGGCTGCTAAATTTTTTTTAGATGACTTAAACAAGTGACAAAAATGAATGAATGAATGAATAAATAATTCGAGACAAGATAATTCTGATTACATGATCAATAAGTCATGCGCATAATCTAGACACCTCGCGCGTGCATTGACAATTCGTGCGCAACTGCGTATAGTCACGGTAATGTTAAGCCATGTAACAAAAAAGGACGTATTCATCTGGTGCCGATAATAGAAAGAAGAAAAGGCCAGAGGAGGAGAAAAAAAGAGCTAGATAAAACTATATTTGCATGATTATTTACGGTATGTTTTGTGCAGACCATTCCTATCTACGGCAAGCCCTGAGGGGAAAAATACATTGCATAACGCACATACAACGAGCGCCAGTACATCATTACCGGTATTATAGTAACAGACTTTGTTGGATTCTGTCATGTACAATCCAACCAAGTCTGTTACAATAATAATTAAAAAAAACTTACAATGTATTGAGACAGTTGAGAAATAATAATATTTTTACAGTTTTCAACAATAATTGTAATTGTTAAGTTGAACCCTTGCTCTTATTATGTTGATTTCTCAGTTTTGTCATTATTTTAGCAAATAAATTATTTGATATGTTTTGAGACAGTTTGTTTTAAGAAGTTTCAAAGAGTTAGTAAAAGAGTAAAGTAAAAGTTAAAACTTTTTTATTTAATTATAGGCTATTTTTTATTAAGTAGGCCTATTTATTTTGTATTAATACATAACCTCACTGTATTCATTTATAATGTATCATTATTGCGTGATATTTGTGTCAATAATCGTCAAGCACATGTGACTCCGCGTAGTGGGAGGGGGCCCCCAAATCAAATTCTGCTTAGGGCCCCCAAAAGGCTCGGGCCGGCTCTGATCAAGATTGTTTATTCACTAGCACTGGACACAACTATTATTCAATATGTCAAATGTAAGAGAATATTAAAGCTGCTTGATGACTGAAAAAAAAAAACTATTTTCATTATCTGTCATATTCTAAGTTAATTTGATTTATTTGCAGTTATTAGTGCAGTTATTAGCACTGCATTTAAGATGAATACACATTTGTTTCTGTTCACCTTGAAGTCTCTGGATCTGTCTCGTAAAGGTCTCGGCCTGGTGGGCGCTTGCCAGCCGCTCTTCCTCCAAAAGACCTAGAAAGCCAAAGAATGACAGAGGGAAGAAGAGGGAAATCTCAAGCTGGACATTGAAAATGAGTAATTAGTAACTTACTACTGGCATCTGACAATATTAACAAGCCAAGAATGTTTGTGTGAAGACATGACTCGAGAAACAGGCGGTCGATGACAGCTGAACATGCTCAGAGGGTACTCCCGGTGATGATGTCACACCTTAAAAACTGCTATTATTAGCATACGCACCCTGCAGCTCGTTGTAGCTCTCCTCGTGTCGTTGGGACACCTCTCTGGTCTCCTCCAGCTCCAAAAGCAGCTGCACCACCTGTGACCTCAGCACCTCCAGCTCATCTTCCTCATCCGCTCCTCTTCGTTCCTCCTCCTCGTCCACCGTCTCCTCCTTCACCTCCTTCTTCTCCGGCTCATCCTCCTGCCCCTTCTCTCCATTTCCGGCCTCCACCTCCTCCAGGTCTCTCTCCTCATTCTCCTCCAGTGACCCTCGCTCTTTGGCCGTCATTTCACTGCCTATACCCGGCCGCTCCACTTTCAAGTCACACACATCGTCTGAGACAGAAAAAAAAAAAATCAATGATAAATTAATCAGTTGATCATATGTAATACTTGATTCTAAATGGTCATTCTAAATTTTATTCAACAGTGATATACTGTATATATATTTGACTGTTGAATAAACAGTATAACAGTATATTTTTCCTCAGATTAAATAAATAAAAAAATGATTAAATTAAATGCAAATATTAAAAAACAAGATTACAGTGAGGCACTTACAATGGAAGTGAATGGAGCCAATTTTTTAAGGATATAAAGGCAAAAAAAAAGATTATATTATAGGCTTTTAATATTACAAAAGTACTTACATTAATACTTTTGTTAAAACGTATATTATTTCAACATTTTTACAACCGTTTTTCGGCGTTACATTGTCATGGCAACAAATTTGTAAAATTAGGTTTAACTTTATAGGAAAAAGACTAGTCAGTGCTTTTTTTCACACTAAAATCGACTTAATATACACAGAGCGTCTTGTGTCAATACTATTGAAACATTGTGTATTTAAAACATTTACAGACTTCCATTGGAAGATCCTCAATCAACGTGCCCCAGAACTTGTTGTAATCACCATTATGCCAGAAATTATGTTGATGAGTCTAACTTGTGATGAACCCACAATAATCCAAAACCTCTCTGCGCTAATAATTATTTGCTCATCCAGTAAAATGACATTTAAAAGCTCTCTTGATGTCATACCCACATTCTCTGTTTGGAAAGGAGATGTGCAGCTATGCATGTGCCAGACCCCCACCCCCAACCTCCAGCTGTCATCCCCACCTTCATCTGAGGAAGCCCTTCATCACCTGCTGGCCCCCGACTCTCATCTCTCTCTGCCCCCAACAGACCTCCAGACCCCCCTCAAGTAATCTAAACACCCAACCAGGGCCAAAAGTGCCTCAGCACTAGAGGAATGTGTGCTATATTAAGGATTTAGGCCAGGAATCGCCCCTCTGCCTTCACCTGTTGTCTGTTCACAAACACAAAACACACACACAGTCCTGAGAAGAAAGTGTAAGAGAGCCAAAGAGCCCTCTAGTGGCAGGAGTGGGTATAGACAAAGAAAGAAAGAAAGAAAGAAAGAAAGAAAGAAAGAAAGAAAGAAAGAAAGAAAGAAAGAAAGAAAGAAAGAAAGAAAGAAAGAAAGAAAGAAAGAAAGAAAGAAAGAAAGAAAGAAAGAAAGAAAGAAAGAAAGAAAAAGAAAGAAAGAAAGAAAGAAAGAAAGAAAGAAAGAAAGAATGAATAAATAACTAAATAAATAAATAAATAAATAAATAAATAAATAAATAAATAAATAAATAAATAAATGAATGAATGAATGAATAAATAAATAAATAAATAAATAAATGCTGTTCATTTAACTTTCTATTCATCAAAGAATCCTGAAAAAAGTATCACAATTTTCACAAAAATATTAAGTAGCACAACTGTTTTCAACATTGATAACAATCATAAATGTTTCTTCATTTGGATCAAAGGATCATCTGACACTGAAGACTGGAGTAATGATGAAAATTAAGCTTTAACATCACAGGAATAAATTACATTGTAAATATATTCAAATAGAAAAGATATTTTAATTTGTATTAATATTTCACGATGTTACTGATTTCACTGTATTTTTGATTAAATAAATGCAGCCTTAATTGGTGAGCATAAGAGACTTCTATATTATATTATATATATATATATATATATATATATATATATATATAAACAATGAATGATTATAAGTTAATATAGACATTATTAACCCTTTGTGACAAACACAGTGAATAAAAGAACATGCGCATGTAAAGTGAGCAGCAGATCTCCTGCTGTCGCTCTCCTCTCTAGTCTGTGCTAATCACCCACCAAACTAAGGAGCCAGATGGTTAAAAATAGCCCATTTCAACAACGTCCTTCTGTCCTCCTCTTCTCTCCCTTTCTTCTCTTCCATTTCTCACACACTCATTTACTCCCTCACTTTTCTTACCATTCACATCACCTTATTTTCATCCGCGTTATCCAAATGATCCTCCTGCTCTTTCCCGGGTCCATCCCTCTTTTCAACAGTCACCTGTTCCTCTCTTCTTAAATCTATATCACCTCGTTCTGAACACCGTCTCTCTACCTCCTCCAGGCTGATCTATAACTCTAGCCTTACTCTAGGTTTCTCTCACTTGCCCTCTGACCTCTGAACTCAGAGAGCCAGACCATTGGCAGGGCAATTACACACACTTAATCTCTCTTACAATCTCACTCTCTAGTTCTATTTAATGACACAAGGGCTGTGTGTGTGAGGATATATGACTGGTTTGGCACTGTTGATGACTTGAACAAAACATTAATAACATGTCCTGAAATCTTTGATCATGACATATTATATATAATATGTAATCCGTATATATATATATAATATACGTATTATATATAATACGTATACGTATATACCCTCAAATGCATTTTGGTATGATATGTGATGTGTGGATTTGCTTTGACAAACTCAGAACAATCTGAAGTCCACACACAGGACACGGGAGACAGTCGGCCACGCCAGACCTGACTAGACGATTCATCTTTCTGATCCTCTTAGATCAGATGTCTGTGTGGGATTAACGGAATCTGTCAGTGCGGAAAATGAATTGTCTTGCCAGCAACTCCTCCCCCTCCATTCCTCAGACTTTCTTTCTCCCATTCACTCCCTCTTTCTCTTTTCCTCTGGTTGGTTTTCTCTCATTTCCCTCTCTCTTCCTGAATGATATTTATCCCACTGTAATGAGCCCTGTGCTGTATTATTGATCATGCTTTGCAGGTTAAAGTTTTTTAAACATCTATCGAATAATAATGAACCAGTGAGGAAACTCACTCTCTCACACACACACACACACAAACACACGCAGGCTGAAGCAGCAGCACAAGCTCACAGGATTACAGGCAGCTTTGATAGTACCAAATCAGCTTTATCCAGTGTATCTGAGCTATGAATTATTCTGTGGGGACAGAAAATATTTTTTTTACATGCACACAGACATCCGGATACATCACTGGATAGGTAACACAAACCGCAATCATGAAGCATCCCTAAAGACGGATAAGGCCATGTAGTTACACAACAGTAGCCTCTGTGGTTTTCGAAATAACTAAAGTAGTGCAGTCAGTCTATGATCTTTGATACAGAACTTCTAGTTAAAATGATCTCTCTCATATATATATATATATATATATATCACATTTTAAAATTTAAAGGGGTTATATAATGAAAGTTCCATCGCTGAAGTTGGAATATGGTCATAAAACTAAATTATATATATAAAAAAATATAAAAATTATTTAATGATAAAAACAAGTGATTTTGTGTAGGAAACCTTGGCTTTATAATTTTAAATTATATTAAAATTGCATAAATAGAATTAAAAATATATAATTTAATAAAATACATGACACCTTTAACTGTATACTGCATCACAAAAGTACATTCAACTCCATACTAAATAGCACAATCTAACACTAAGAACGCAAAACACATGTGGACTGAACTTTCTCTTGTAACAACATCATCCCATATGTGCAGTGCCTGGCAGAACAGAGGCCTCACTTCCTGTTGAACTCAGATTCTTGTGATTTTCACTTGTGTATTATGATTCCTAATGGAAAAAGCCCAAGAATAGGCCTCTTTGTTCTAACAGAGATAGATAGAATAGTTGAAGTGAATGAATTCTAACACTCAATTTGCCGATTATAATTGCATGATGCTTTCTGCCGTTGCAATAAATAAATGAGAAATGCCATTAAAATGAGACTCTGAGATCAGAACATTCACTTACAAAACAACTGACACAATTAATTTGAAAATGAGCACTTGGTGCTTTGGAGATAACAATCAAAACTAAACAATTTCATTTCAGACCATGACCGGAAGGCCATATTAAATCTTAATATCATGAGTGGCATTAAATGTTGACGTGCAAAGAGTTCCATCACTATCGTGACAAACACAAACACAAATATAGCTCTCGTCTAGTTCTCATGAGCTCCGAGAATTAATTTCACTCCAATCACAAGCATAGCTTCGGGATCAGCCTGTGGCACTCGCAGAAATCTAGTGTAATTATTGTTATTTGATGTTGATGATGTTTGATTGATGCGGTTTTCATAACAGAAACAACATCAATCAAAAACGATATATTCAGTATAGTCTTACGCTATTCCTTTTTATTCACTTTCATTCTCTCCTTTATTTTTATTGTCTTTTTACACATAACTATTTTTGATTATCTCCTTTATCCTGAAATATCAATAATATTGTCAATACTGTCAACAGCCAAGTACAACTACACTCACCGGCCACTTTATTAGGTACCCCATGCTAGTAACGGGTTGGACCCCCTTTTGCCTTCAGAACTGCCTCAATTCTTCGTGGCATAGATTCAACAAGGTGCTGGAAGCATTCCTCAGGGAGTTTGGTCCATATTGACATGATGGCATCACACAGTTGCCGCAGATTTGTCGGCTGCACATCCATGATGCGAATCTCCCGTTCCACCACATCCCAAAAATGCTCTATTGGGTTGAGATCTGGTGACTGTGGAGGCCATTTTAGTACAGTGAACTCATTGTCATGTTCAAGAAACCAATTTGAAATGATTAGAGCTTTGTGACATGGTGGAAGTAGCCATCAGAGGATGGGTACATGCATGGTGGCCATAAAGGGATGGACATGGTCAGAAACAATGCTCAGGTAGGCCGTGGCATTTAAACGATGCCCAATTGGCACTAAGGGGCCTAAAGTGTGCCAGGAAAACATCCCCCACACCATTACACCACCACCACCAGCCTGCACAGTGGTAACAAGGCATGATGGTTCCATGTTCTCATTCTGTTTACGCCAAATTCTGACTCTAACATCTGAATGTCTCAACAGAAATCGAGACTCATCAGACCAGGCAACATTTTTCCAGTCTTCAACTGTTCAATTTTGGTGAGCTCTTGCAAATTGTAGCCTCTTTTTCCTA